CAGGAAGTAGCCAGTGTGTGCCCGCAAATAGACTTCCTGAGGTGCTGCTTAAATCAGAACGCATGTAAACATAAATCTACATAAAAATCTATGAACGAATAGATAAGCAAAACACACGAAAGATATACATATAACCCACTATATATATATATATACATGTACAATGTATACGTGTGTGTATACACGCACATACAAATGAATGAACGAACATGTGTATATATATATATATATACATGCGATATCTCTCTCGATTCAGCTGGGACTTCACGCAAGCCAAATACCAAACAGATCCCGAATGGATGCCTCTTGGACACCTCACCGCCCATCATAAACCCTCGAAGCTGTCCCCAGACCTCCCGATATCTGACTGGCTGGTCAGAAGTCATACATATATATATATATATATATATATATATATATATGCAGATATGAGTATATACATACATCTTAAGACTGTCGCTTTTCACCAAAATTTACGTGAACATGCCTGGAGCCTAGGGTGTCTCAGCATCCAACTCTAGGCCTCAAACATCCTGAAACCCTAAACAATGGAAAGATTCGTCACCAGGTCGGATGACATCGGGATCATCGCTTGTCGGCGAGGCGTCAGAGCCCATCGAACTGGGCTCCGAGCCTTCTGCGTCTTCAATATCCTCAGCTTTGTTTAAGGTCTATAAGGGCTCAGGTGAAGGTGTTAAAGAGCAGGAATCAAGCAGGGCGATGTTCGCAAAAGAAAGGGACATGGGGCCCTCTGGGCCTCTGGAGACTCTCAGCTGCAGCTGAACTCCGTGTCCGAAACCCATGCACGTGCCAAGTGGTTTCGCAGTCTTTTGTGTCCAAAGCGTCTCCCAACCCTCGCGAGCCATTGCGCTTCAGCGCTGGCAGCACATCCACCTCCTCCTCGTCAGCAGCCTGCAGGCAACTACCAACTGTTCTGGTCACTGTGAGCAAGGCAACGCACTGGGTTCATGGCTCAGCTTTTTCATGGCCAGGGTGTGGGGAGAGGGGGCATAAATCCCGAAAGGTCCCATGGGTTATCCTGAAACTCGTCTCATAGCTGCTTTGCATACTCGAATCTATGGGTTCCCGGTAACATGAGACAACTACAACCGGATGCCATCTCGAAGGGACTTCCTCTCGTGAGATCTTTCTTACAGCGTCCTAGGAGGACCTAGAGCTTTTGGAGCATAAAGCTAGAATCTCTCGACCCTTAGCCTTTGTTCTTGCAACCTAGCCTCAAAAGCACACAGCCGCGAAGCCATGCATCGGAAAACCATGCCCATAACCCTCAAATACCCGAAAAACAGGAACCCATCTTAATATAGCAAGCTCATGAGCTCAAAAAGGTCGAAGCCCGTTGATGCCTTCAGCCACTGACGGTCCGAGCCCTTTTTTGGTGACCGTCGACACACCCTAAGAATCGCGGTCTCATGTTATAGTTTTCGCCGTTACAAGTTCTAAACCCGGCATGCGACTCCATATCTCATCTGAGGTATTGAACTTAGATAGAGTAATTATACTAGATCAGCCCTGTAAGGCAAGCGAACAATAGACTCTTTTGATGAATCAGTTGAATGTTCCCAGCACTCGCCTCCTGCACGGCGAGATACAGTCGCTGTAAGAGCTCCGCCTTCTTTCCGGAACTCGGCAAACCTGGGAGTTATCCCCCCGCATTCCCCAAATCCGGGGATTTAGGGTGCATGGGGCTTTCTGTGTCCTCCCGGGCTTCAGGCTTGTACTCTGCAAGTCCCGATATTCCGGGGACATGCGGGGGTTCGAGGTGCTAGCGGAGGTGGGTGGGTGCATCAATGGCTCCTAACCCTCTGATACATTGCGGGGGCTTGAGGGCCGAGGCCTTAGAGGTTTAGACGTTAAAGCTTCAGACTTTAGGGTTTAGGGTTTAGGGTTTAGAGGGTAGAGGGTTTAGGGTTTAGAGGGTTTGTTTAGGGTTTAGGGTTTAAAGGGTTAAGGGTTTAGGGTTTAGGGTTTAGAGGGTTTAGGGTTTAGGGTTTAGACTTTATACATCAACCTTTGCTTTGGGGGCAGGGGCATGGCTTCTGTGCAGAGCCGGGTGGGGATGTCATTCCATGATTGCATCCGACCGGGAAAGGATCTTTAGGTTTGCCCCACGAGTTCCCGCGGGGCTAATCATCCCCGAACCCGAAGGCCCGGCAAGACTGCTGCTCCATGAGCCCAAGACAGGAATAGACTCCGGAATGAACCCCTAAAGCCCTCTGCAAGCTGGTGACTGCCGTGGTTAAGCAACTTCAGCGCTCACGCGAACCCTTAAGATATAAACCTTACAAGCCTTGCAATGCTTCATACCACATTGCTCGAGCTGAAAAACTCCGAACTACCCCCGCCCTCAAACCTCATCCGCCCTTTGTGGAGGGGTCTAGTCCAAACAACAACCGAAAGCCTTGAACCCTTAACTAAATCAGTACAGTAGGTTTGCCTCCAAAGAGAGATGAAAGCATCAACCGAAGTAGGCGAATTCCGAACACCCAAGACCTGAACTAAACCCCAAAGGTCATAAACCACCCTCCAAAACAAGATCGACCCGAAGGAGCCATGGAAGCCTCAACCCCCAAAACAAGAGCCAGGGGGCCCAGCTCCTTCAGCTTCTCTCTTAGAAGCTTCAGAGTGGGACCTTTCCTTCGCTTCCTCGGGGTGGCTGCTCGCGTCCTCAGGTTTAGAGCAAGAGCCAGCGCGGTTTAGGGTTTAGGGTAGAAAACATCCTGAAAAGCTAATATAGGAACCCTCATAGAATCCCTTCACAGAGCCCTGTAAGGAACTTTGCAGAACCACTTTCTTGTGGTTTTGGGGGTTCCCTCTTACAGTCATACTACAATACACCCCAAACCCTGTTCCAATGGTTAAGGCCCTTATATTGGAGAGATGCTTCGCAGGCAAGTCAGAAGTAAGGTATTGAATTGTAGACATACCGTCTTTGAACCCCAATTCTTGCACGGGGTCCTGTAGAAGTTCCTTTGAAGGAATCCTCGAACTAACCCTGAAAGGAGCCCTTAGGGGCCTTATGTATGCAAGCCACCCGGAGTTGACCTTGACAGCTGCGTAGCAGCCTGGGATGCTGAGCAGCACTAGGTAGGACGGTTGGCATTTCGGGCGTCTTTCGGCTGTCATCAGTTCAAAGAGAGGTTGCAGCCGTATCATTCCCATGGTCTCTTTGGTAATACTTGTTCGTATTCAGGTCCGCAAAACAAGAAACAAAACAGAACCCTCCCTAGCAAAGCCATGGCAACACGGTCAGTTCTAGGCACTGTGAGCAACGAGGCCTACAGAACCCGAGGCAAGGAAAAGCCTGGAAACCCACCGCCGACACCAGGGGTATCGTCGAGCGCTGGAGCTTTCCGCACCGAAGAGGCTCTGCCAACGTTGCCCTCGCATGTGCACTCGATTTCAGCAGATGATACTTAGGTGTTGATGCTTGGAGTCGCCGGGCTTCAAGGCTTTGGCTTACAATTTGGGGGGGTCCTTTTTGCGAAAATACTGTAGTATACCCCCAAAAGCCTATTCGAATAAGGGTCCTATATTTGTCCTCGGCCTCGATGAGGCTGATAAGGATTTGCTGGTCATTTGTCTTCCCCTAGCCCCACACCATGATCACCACTCGGCCACGATCCAAGGTCAGCAATATTGTCGTGGTTGGATGATGTTAAGGTTTTAGGGTTACCCAGTAGGGTTTAAGGTTTAGGGTTTAGGGTTACCCAGTAGGGTTCAGGGTTACCCAGTAGTATAATTTCCTGGGTTGTAAGTAGGACCATTTTTGGGCAGTTGTCGGCCCTCTCCTGGTCCCTCCTGACTTCCTTCGCAAGCGAACGTCCAGTGTGCACCCGTGGGCTTTCCGGTGTTGGGGTACTACAAGGATAGTACGATGGACGAAGACTCACTCTGTTTTCATTGGTCTCATGACTTTCCCGCTGAAGCAAGAGGCCTAACGGCAAAAACACTCAGAATGAAGGATACAGAATTAAGGATGAGTGGTAGCAGCAATCGAAACGAGAACCAGCTTCCAAGACATGACTAAAATATCATGACAGTATAGTACCGGAAAGCCTGGCAACAATAGGTCCCAGGCAGGCTCGGGTCGCGGTCTGTTCCTCTGCACACGGGCGGTTCCTGTTCACCGCCTGCTGGAGTTTATGGCCTTTTGTGCTCAGAGTTGAAGCTTTGCTCGGTCACAGCTCAGGTTGTTGGAGACATCAGTACGGCCTTTGCAGATTGTAGGGTTTCTCGGAGCAGCAGGATCTTCTTTCAGGCACCGCCTATTCTAAACATGCCCAGTCCCGAATCTGCCTTCTGTCGGGGAACGTCTGCGATACGCCGCGGAGCCATCCGCTGAATCTGGCAGCAGCCCGCACCGGGGCCGGCCACATCTCCATGACTGTGGTCCTAGGTCCTAGGGTTTATGGTCCCATCGCACTCGCACTACTCTGGCCAGCAGCTTACTTCGTAACGATGCAATGCGCTGTAGCACTGGCCGCAGAGATTCTGAGGAAGTACCAACCCTTGCCCTAAAGCATGGAACAAAAGCTCCGAGCTGCCTAGATCATCAGTGTTCCCGCGTGTCTGTGTGTGTGTGTGTGTGTTCTAATCTCGAGCCAAGGCGCAGCACTAAATATCGTGAGTTTGGGGTTTTTGGATTGAACTTCCCTTATTTACTTAAACCTGACACAGCAGGACTCATCAAGCCTCCCCTGGAGCGGAGACAGAAGTCTTCCAACCTCTTCCTGGGTGTGTAAAAATGTCTTCCAGCGATTTTGAGGGTTAACATGGTGCAGCGATTTTACATATATATATATATATATATATATATATATATATATACATATAGATGCCTCGAGTAACAAAATCCCTATCAAAATAAATGGAACCCTTGTTACATTTCCTGTTTAGACCAACCCATTACCCCTTTCGCAGCTGGGAAGCCACACTAAACCCTACACCCCAAACCCAAAACTAGAAACCTATGCCACGGCCTTTCCAAGCTCGCGGTTCTTCAGGTGGGCACTTCTGGAAGTGCCTCAAAATCTCCTTAGCAAAACACCCCGTGCTTTGGGGCTGAGAGTGCTTCAGGTGGTTTTAAACAGTTTAGGGCTTCGCACAAAGAGAGAGCATGCTCAACACCTTGAACAAACTGCCGCGAAATGGTCGCTGAAGCTGCAACAACCCCGAAGAAGAGACTTCACGAGTGATCCCCATGACCCCGTCCCCACTTAGTTCTCGCTAGGGCAGCGGTCTTCACCGTAACTGCTTGTGTTCTTCGCTTCAGTGGCGCCTTGGAATGGCCTTTGCAGAGCAATCGTAGCTGGGATGTCTAGTGGAGATAGCCTTGAAGTGGCCGTGATGAAAGCGCGCTTGTGATGCTGCCGGCCTGATTTCTGTAAACCTACAGCGGAGTTCAATTCTTCTGGTGGCTCGGATTCTTTGATGCCTTGCCTGCCTTGGCCTACGTCCCGCCTTACTTTCTTGAAAGCTTTGGCTACAATCTTCTCTCTCTCTCTCTCTCTTGCTGAAAAGCGGTGGCCATTGCAGATCCTCCTCATATAGGCTCATATAGGTCGGTTCATTCCCCCACCTCATTGGCTGGTCTAGATGACCGAAGCCCAATACTGGAGTGTCATGCCTCGCTTCCATAGGCTTGCACGACAGCGGAAGACAAGCAGTGAAAGGCAGCCCTAAACGTATAACCCTTATAAACCCCAGAAGAGCAAACCACAGCTCCAACTTGCAGTTCTTTCGTCTGAACATAGAAATCCAAATTACTTCACCGGGACTGTTTCGGATGCCTGCCTTTTTTCATACCGAGGAGTGTGGCTTACTGAAACACTCAGGGCATTTCCCTTCGAGGCATGACAAGTGCCGAGCTGCCATTTTCGTACTTCGGTCTGCGTAATACTGCAGCATTTCCTGGACAACTTACGTGGCAGATCGATGGGAATCATGGTAGATCGCTTGGCCACACCGGCTAGGATCAACTGCTGACATCTGACAGGATCACGCAACAGGAACTGCTGGAAGTGCAATCTGCAGAGTTCCGCCCCATATCTCGCACTGCACCAATCCCGGCTCAGGTGACTCAAGCGAGTCGAGGTGCGATGCGGGCTGCTTGATGCAGCAAGCAACTACATCCCCAACCCTTGCGGATGATATCCCGAAGCCGAAGTCTTATCGCTGCCAGCAAGCAACTCAAACATTGCCACCTTCCCCAAAGCTAGGGCAGAACCCACGAGCCCAAAACCTAACTCCGTAAGCCCTAGCCAAAACCCCAATCTGGAAATTCTGAACCCATAGGGTAACCCCAACAGTGGCCCTTACAGGAATGCTTACAGCAACCCTCAAAGCAACCGTTATAATGAATAGAGGTGGCTTAATAATGAGAACAGGGTCTTGGTTGGGGCCCATTATACTTACTATAATTATAATAAGGAACCGCCAAAACAGTATTGGTAATTGTCTAGGCCCCTAAAGTTAGTATCCCTTTTGGCTTCAACCCCAAGCTATCGCCCCCGAAGCCCTGGCTCCTGGAAGGACCGGGCCACCCCATCCGCAACATCCACGTGCCTCTCCCCGATGGGCACCTCAAGGCACAAGCCCCGAATACTTGGAGGATCATGGGACTTAGTAAGTATGGTTATAAGTACCTTAATTGGGGTTATAAGTAGTTATAAGTATAAGTTACCCTAATTATAACCCTAGTTACTAAGTCCCATGATCCTTTAAGTAGGGCTTATATATGACCAAAACTTCGGGTTGATAGACCCTATATGAACCCTACAATAATGTTGGTAAACCCTATATGATCCCTAAACCCCATAACACCCTAAACCCTGTGTTTCAGAAGGGCTTGGGGTTTAGGGTGTTTAGGGTTTTAGTCTTCAGGATGTGGGAGTTGTAGGGCTTTTGGGTTTTAGGGTCTGGGGTCTAGGACGTAGGATTTCGGATCTTCGTGTTTTAAGGTTCAGCATCCAGGGAAAGGGCTTGGGAGACTTAGAGTGCGAAAGCCTGGGTCTTAAAGGTTTTACAGTCTAGTGTTTTTAGGGTTTCGGGGGTCTTAGGTTTTGAGGGGATGGTTTCAGGATTTTGGGGTTTAGGGAAAAGGTTTATTTAGGGCCAATTTAGGGTTTGAAATTTAAAGCTTTGCGAGCCCAGACACCTTGCAATCCCGAAGACCCCCTAGGTAATGGGAGCTTCAGAAAACAAGGCATCTTAGCCAAGATCCTGCATCGTAGGAGCATGGAGGTTCCTGATTGTTACCCAGAACCCCGCATAAGGTACCCGTATAATTGAGAAATCGTTTATAAAAAGTCGATGATAGAAGCTCAAGGCGTCTGCAAAGTGCCTCCTGGACAACTCCCTGGCGCTGGCCTGATGCGGGGATTGGCGCTCACACGTGGTCTCATCAGGCAAGGGTCATCACGAGTATCTTAAATCCCTACTTTGCTTTGTCATGATTTCTTGGAGCGGATTCTTGACCCTTGCAGGGTTGCCGCACAGCCCAAAGCTGCTGAAGCCCAAAGCCCCAAATCTTCCTAAGCGTTGGAGCTTTGAGGCTTCACAGGCGCTTCGAACGTCGAGGGGGTCGCCCTGAGAGATTTCGGCTGCTGCAGAACTTCGAAACCCCAAGCCCGAAAGCTTCAAATAACTGACATGGACATGGTGCTTCTTCGTAGAAAATACGCTGAAGACACCACTATGTTTAAACTTAAGGCAGCCCTGTAAAGGCGTATTGAAGCAACTTACTAAATCATGAGTCGGGCACCCGACCTAGGGCTTTGCCCTTTCCCTTTCCTTTCCAGGCTCCTTGCTGCAGAGTTTAGCGTAGTATAGGATTTAGGGGCTTCGTTTTGTGAAGGGTTTCGGATAAAGGATATATGCGTCTTCGATGCTCACACTTGCACAAGGGAAGATGGGTGTCGGGTTTAGGGCTCACGCGGGCAACGGCAGAACCAACTCCGAAACTAAATGCATGCAGGCTTTGAGCCACACCCACACCCATTAGATGGAACAAGTTAAATACTTACAGAGACATTCGACATGACAAGAAACCGAAAGCGCTAAGGTTGGACGTTGCATGGAGACCTAAGTGTGTGTGTGTGTGCGCACATGTAATGCTGGCGTGGTGACTTACAGTTTGCCAAGAAACATTGAATCAAGAATCTAAAACACGGACACATGCAACAAAACTAGATACAGAAGAAGCCAACAAACAGATTTATGCTTGCATATGTATGTATGTATCTCTGCATCTATGTATGTATCTCTGCGTGTGTATACATGCATGTATGCACGTTTGTGCGCACACATGTGTTTACGCATGCATGTGTGAACGTAGATATGGGCAGGCAGGCAAGCAGGCGGGTCCGTCCATGGCTGTGTCGGTATCACTGTATGCATGCGTTTAAGTATGTGTGCACGCAGGCAAGCTGGGATGTGTGTATGTATGTATCTATGCATGTACGTATGTAACTAGGCTCGTAAGTGTGCAGATACCGAGTTGGTCAGAAAATGCAACTCTGCTTTGAATTGCCAGAACCCTTTTTGCCACGGTATCTCCCAAAAAATCCCACTTTCAAAGCTATGTGAAAAGCATTGTGCAATAACATGCAATAACAGTCATGCTCGAACAAGCACAGCGGTCAAAGTTCAACGGTGTATGCAACGACTGCAAGGCATAGTCTTAGAAAAGCCTCTTTGCAGCAGGGCTCCATGCGAAGGCTGTGAGTTTGTGTTCGGAGATTGGGGGGGCCTGAAGATGTTGCTGGCAATCTTTCCAGTCTACACCCTGAACCCCAAATCCTAAATACCCCAAACCCTTAAACCAAATCGGATCGAACTGCCGCCATCAAGCCATGTCAGGAAAATCCTGCACAGTACGCAAACAACTGAAATCGCAAGCAAGCCTAGGATGGAGCAACCATCGGCTTTGAAACCCATCAATGCTCGCTAATGCAGGCAAGACTCCCTTTCCTGTCTCGCCCTCCTCCATCTTACCCTTCCAGGCTTTTCCCTTCCCTTTACCTGTACCTTGTAGATGCAAATTCTCAGCAAAAGCTTTTCGGTCTAGGTGGAGTTGGAATCTAATGTGAAGGGGCAAGAAACGGTACTCAGACCAACTAGTTGGGCAATGATTTAGGATCCAGGGTTCACCAACAGCGTGCAACATGGGAGTTTCCGAAAATCGTTGACCCTACTATAGTTCCCTAAATAGTAGGATCCTTATTAGAAGGAGCCCAAAATAAGGTACCCCCTATTTTCGGAAACCCCCACATAGTTCCTCTGGCTAACAGCTATCCAACCAGTCTTGGGGTTAGGACCCGAACCTCCAATGCCGAAAACCGGTGACCAGAAACGGGACTGCATCGGAGAGCACAGGTGGTGTCCTATACACCCTAGACTAGCTACAGTCTAAACACCATCGAACTAGCATATAACTGCAAAAAAAGCCAAAACACATCTACACCGCAAATATGTCTGTTTCCCACAAAGCTGCCCGGGCGCAATCGAAACCCCCAGTGCGTCAAACCCCAAACCTTGAACCTCTGGAAACCTGAACCTTAAACTCATTAGCCCCTAAACCCTCAATCCCGGGCAATGAACTCAATCCAGCTGCTGAAGCCATCGTCCGTGGATTTCCCCTTGCCTTTCCCCCTGCCTTTGAAAGCAGCGACAAAAGCGGCGAAGCCCTGACCTCGTCCTTCACCTGTGTGTTCATTTAGGGTTGATGTTGTTGAGGCTTTAGGGTTTGGATGGGTTGAGTAGGCGAGAACAGGACGGCGTCCAATTGAGGTTTGGATCCTGATTTAAGAACTTGTTGGGGCCCCCCTTCATCGTGCCAAACAGCACTGACAAAAGAACTGCGTGGCGCAATGAAAGTGACAGAAGATATAGCACTCGTGGAAAGTACCCCTAATTTCTGCAACCCCTGTGTGGAAGGCTAAGCTTGGCAGCTTTGTGATTGGTGTTGGTGTTGGCCCTAGTGGTGTTCTTGTTGCTCTTGTTGCTACTGTTGTTGTGCATTCACCGGCTAATCAAGCAATGCCGCATCGAGGCATCATGGGCATAGAAGCCAGAATAATCTTCATATTTCCCTCGACGGACAAAATATGAAGTTCAAGGGAATTACCTTTGCCTTACCACGCCTTATTGTTTGATGTTCTGTGGACGCTACAGCAAGGAATTAAACACCGGATAGCCCAAATTCATCTACCCGAAAAGGGCCTAAAGCTCCAAAGCCTCCAAGCCCCAAACAAGCAAAACAAACATTACAACATCAACCACTCTTCAACTGTACATCCAAATCCCGGATTCTTGGATCTTATGTAGGTTTTACAGCATGTCGGACACTGCTCGAAATGCAAGATTTCAGGATTGGGGGTCTGGTGTGTCGAATAACGGGTCAGGGTTTGCGTACGCGGCTTCAAGAGTGTAGGAGCGAGCGTTTGGGGTTTACAGGCTTGCCGTTGTGGAATTTGCCGCGACCGATGGTCAACCCTTTGTCTATGCAACGGGTAACTAATAAGCGATGGTTTACAGGGACGGCATGCTCCTACATAGCTGACTCGGTTTCGCAAGCTCCGACTTCTGATATCTTGATCTTTGCATCTCGGATGTCAGGCGAGGTAACTCTAAACCCTAAACCCCTAAACTCTGGCCCAACATCCTTGGCGCGTGGAGTTGGTCAGAAGCTGGCTGTCAACATCACTTCACCACATGCGCAGCTGCAGGACGAAGCTCTGGTCCAAGACTTAGGGTAGCCCCCTCGGTCGTAATAGTCATAATGACTGTAGTCAGTAACAGTGAAAGTAATGGTAATAATAATTAAGAACAACAAGATGCCTTTGCCAGCTTCTGTGTCCTTGCCCTTTCCTTTGCCTTTGCCCTTGCCTTTACTTCGCGGCCTCTGGGTTGGCTCCACTGCCTGGGCCGAACTGGGGTTCAAGTGGTCATGTTCTGTATCTACTTGTAGCTGCAGAACCTAGCAGCTAGCTGGTTCCCTGTCCCCTTCTCCTTAATCTGATGACAAACCTTCGAAGATCTCCGAAACTATCGAAGGTTTTCGACATGCGGCTTCGGATAAAGGTATGAAGGCTCAGGCTACAAGGCATTGGGTTGTGGTCGGGGCTCTCATACGCATGCATTCTGCGACTTCTCTTGCCGCTTGAACCCATACCCCCTTGCCCTAAACCTTTGGCCACTATGTGCCTCTATAACTCGCCAACCTGCCTGCAGGAATAGTGTCAACCACAACGGCTCCAGTAAACAAAGACAAGGAACTCTGAACCCGCCCCCCCTTTCAAGACATAGCATCTGAAAGCACGCCCAGGTCAAACTCCCATAAATCAACAGCAAGCTCTACCCTGAAACCGGAGTGAACCCGGAGCTCTGAGCTCTACCCAATCAGCAGGGAGCCATGTTCGGGAAACAAGTGCGGGAGCCCAACCCCTAAACCCTTAAATCCTACACCCGTAACCCTAAGCCCTGAACCCCTAAATCCCTAAATCCTATTCCCTCAGAGGCTACCATCGGATGATGCCTCCGTCGGGCCTTCCATGCTAATGAAGTCCTTGGTGCTGGCTGTTCCGAATATCCGGGTTTAGGGTTTCTAGGGCTGCTAGGGCTCATGGCGCTTATCAGGGTGACAGGGTAGAAGGGGTTATGGCTTAGGTGTTTACCGTTCGGGGTTTAAGAACCCGTAGGCTTCAGCGTGTATGAGTAATGTCTTCGGCAAGAGTCATGAAACCAAACTATGTCAATGAAACCAGGATGGAAAAACAGCCAAGCCAAACACATCGATGTCCCAACTCCAAGTGTTCACAGCCCTTTGTGTTACGAGCTACCACCACCACCACCACCGCCGCCGCCACCACCACCACCACCACCACCACCACCACCACCACCACCACCACCACCACCACCACCACCACCACCACCACCACCACCACCACCACCACCACCACCACCACCACGAGGGCTACGGCTACGGCTACCACCACCACCACGGGGGCTACGGCTACGGCTACCACTACCGCTACGGCTACTGCTACGTCCACTACTATTCTGCCGTTCACTAATAGCAATCCCAAACCCAAGCCGAACCAGGCGGACCCAAAACGGTCCCCATGACACTGGTTACAATCGTATAAATGCTGTGCTGATGCGACTCGTGCTAGCTCAGCTTGGGTTCGGATCTTACCTCAAGCCGTTCTGCCCGGGTCCGAATCCTGTACCACAGTGGTGGGGACACGTTTTCGTGATCCTGTACTAGCCATGTTTTGGAATTTCAAGTTAGCGTCCAAGCTGCTGTTCGAATTCAGTTGTAGCCCAAGCCGCACGCAGCTTCGTGAAAGGTCGAGATGCGCCATTTCTTGAGGCTTTACACTACACCAAAGACTAAAATGCACCCCAAGCCCTGCACCCTACAAACCCTAGAGCTCTAAACCCTAAATATCAAAACTCAAGCCCTCTAAATCCAAGCATGACGCTGAATACACCCTGAACCCCTAAGCCCTTAATCCTCTAAACCACTAAACAACGGCGAGTTGCCCAGGTGAAAGCGACGTTGCTACTGTCCTGTCGGAATACTCGGCTAAGCTGCCGGAATTTGTGGTTGTATGGGAAACGGCCCGGGGTTTCTTGTTGGTGAGGAAGGACGCAGCAAATCCTAAAAGCCCAATCCTAAGCCCTGCTACCCGTAGGATGTAGGATGTGGGGTACGGGGAGCAGGGCTTGGAGAAGAGTCTGCAGTACAAGAAACTCAACCAGCGATCTGTAGGATGTAGGATTTGGGTTACAGGGAGCAGGGATTAGAGCGTAGATGCCTCGAGTCTCGGGCTGTGTATCTGGTATTTGGACTTGCACTCCCAAATGTACACAAACGTAAGAAAGTCGCGTTTGCAATGAAACAGAAAACATCAGCACACGTACCTACAGCAAAGATTATGGAGAAGAGTTTGCAGCACAATAATCTGAACCCGCGGCTGGGAAACCCCGGGTTGTCACGGTCATCCTGCACTGAGAACTGGACCATCCATAGCAGTAAGCAAACTACAGCGATACTGTTGAAGAGATGGTGCAGATAGAGATCCTGTAGGGGTCTTGGGGTCCATTATATACTATATTATACTATAATAAAGAACCCCCAACATAGTATTGGTATTTATTAAAGCCCCTAAATAGTAGTACCCTTATAGATCCCCTATAGTAACCCTTATACTCCCGTTTAAAGGAACCCTACACCCCCTATATTATACAGCCCCTATATTATTGAGTTCGAAAGCGATCAGCTTCCCAAATCCCCTCTCAGTCCGTACCGGAGAGCCACGTGACTTGCTTCATGCCAGACCTTAGCTGCTTGGTTTACACTCTCGCAACTCGGACATGCCAGACGAGATCTGTGTGGTCGGGGTGAAGTGACAAAAACTACTCTACTTCGCTGATTGGTTTAGGGCTTATAATTAGGGTCTAGGGTCTAGGATTCAGGGTTGACATGGCACATGTTGAATACGACTCAGGAATACTCAGGATCTAGTCTGTGCTAAACCTGCAGGTCTGCAAGGCACCTGTGACCGAGCAACGCAAACAAAATCACATAGAATCCTGGCCTCCGCAAGTCTAGGAAAGTTGCTTCGAAACCCGGCACCTCTACCATCCCGTTGCCACTACAGCCCAGCACTGTATGTCGAAATTGTAGTGGCCTTGGCAAGTACAACAGTACTTCACACAGAATGAAGAACCTTGCGGAATAAAATGTCCACATGCTTGCTCAGGTTTGTAAGTATGAGGCGGTTGGACTTTTGCCATGCGCCCAAGGTACTGTTGGCGCATAGAACACGCATACCACTGCACCAAGAACTCGTCAACTGCATCACGAGTACTGAGCAGTGAGACATGAATTTCGGTAGAATATGCACTGCGTGAAACAATGTGAGAGAACTGGAGGGCGCGAGAGAGACAGAGAGAGAAAGAGCTAGAGAGTGCAAGAGAGAGCGAGTACGCGCGAAAGAGAGAAAGAGAGAGAGAGAGAGCGCACCAAACGCGGGAGATTCCGACTTCAGGAGTTCCTCAAGGTCGTCATCGTTTAGGGTTTAGGCCCTTGGAACCAAGGTCACCCTGTCATACACAACACTTAAACTTAAACGGACAAATTAAAGATTGAAGTGCAGCTCCGAGTTCCGTTAAGCTGGATCCAAGCACTTCTACAAATTTTAACAGGAAAACAAAATCATAGGTCATATTATAGAGCGATTACCAAGGGATTAACTATTAACACAATCCTGAACCAACTGTGCCCAGTCTCTGGAATCCGGGGTCGAGCGTGAACCTAGGCTCGGCATCATGGGCAGCTGCAGAACAGTTCGCAGGGCGTGTGGGTTTACAGGTTTAAGGTTTTTGTTCCGCAGGCAGCTCCGAAAGCCCTGTTGAGCGAGCAGCTTGTCGACGTTAACAAGCCCGAAAAGACCGAAGCAGAGTAACTTACGACTCCTCACAGTCGTAAGGGTTTCGGAACCATCCACACAGCTAGTGGTGGGTTGCGCTTAAGTTGGCCACCTTCGCATCATCCTCCTCCTCGTCCTCGTCCTCTTCCTCCGCATCATCATCATCATCGTTAGTCAGGAACTTTTAGAGACCATCACAGCACCACCAGCATCACTGTCGGCATGGTGATGATGACCATCCTTTGCATCGTAACCATCTCATCGTCATCCTCATGGTACCATCTTTGTCATCAGCGTTGCAATCGTCATCGTCATCATCATCATCATCATCAGCGTTTCAAGGGCCCATCACAGCACCACATGCATCACTGTCGGCATGGTGATGATGCCCATCCTTTGCATCGTAACCATCTCATCGTCATCCTCATGGTACCATCTTTATCATCAGCATCGCAATCGTCATCGTCATCATCATCAGCATCAGCGTTTCAAGCGCCCATCACAGCACCACCATCATCACTGTCGGCATGGTGATGATGACCATTTCTTGCATCGTAAACATCTCATCGTCATCCTCATGGTACCATCTTTAGCAGCAGCATCACAAGCGTCAGCGTCATCATCATCATCATCGTTATCCGAGTCGTCATTATAGTATTGAACCCCTGCTTTGCGACAAGATGCTTGCCAGAGCCCCAGACGACCTGTCCCTCGGCGCCCTCTGTTAGCCTCCGTTGCTCACATGGCACAACGGGCATGTGGGAAAATTACGACTAAGAACACATGGCTGCAAAACTCTTGTGACTTGTCCATCATCCAACCCTGCCCCGAAACTTTCCATGTCTGTATATCTGCATGAGATAAATGTGCTCTGGGGCTGCGCTGCACTGAAGAATGCATCTAAGCTACCAATGCCTGTGAACGGTAGCTGGGAGGGAAGAGCAATCGAGTAAATGCCTCCTGCAGTGGGGCTTACAAGAAGCAGCCAGTGTATGTGTATAACATATATATATATATATACACATGTATACGTGTGTATATATGTATATATATATATATATGTATATGTCTACACATAATATACATATACATATGCATGAAGAAACGGAGACGGGCTTCTGGCGGGGAAGCATGTCGTGAAGCTTTCAAAGCTCACACACTTCAAGAAGCTGGCAAAATAGCTCCCTCTGCACAGGGCGGGGCTCGTTAGGGTAGATACGGTTGATGATATAAATCCTGCATCACCCATAATAGGGAATATACATACGTTAGTTTAGGGATCTTAAGGTAGTTTTGTACCATCAGCCGTATTGGACCCAAGCAACTTGAATTTGCGAGCTCGCCGGACGCCCTTCCAAACCTGCAGAGATGCAGAGGATTCACTGGAATCGCTCGCATTATAGATCCAGAGAACACAAACCCACAGTTCTAGCGAACATTTCGCGGAAGCCAGTCCTACCAAAGCACAGTGCACAAGTGTCGAAAACAAACTAAGCGTGACGTAAAGGTGTAATTTCTCAACAAGCTGTGCATTTCTCGGAATTAGGCTAATTACAGCTAACTTTTGCAATTTGTCAGGGCCTCCTGCTGCTGGAGCCCTGTGCCTATACCATATGGATTTTTGAATCAAGCCCCTTGAACCTCAAAGTCCCGCGTTGAGCACATGCTTTCTCTCTGTCTCTCTCTCTCTCTCTCTCTCTCTCTCTCTCTCTTTCTCTCTCCGATCCTCTGTCACACACGGACTCGAGTCGATCATGCCACGAAGAAGCAAGTCGTCATGTCGTGATTCGACACAAAGCTTGCACCCTCCGTCCGATAAAGAAGGATTTCCCATTCGTATCTTGATTGCTATTGCTCTCAACAAAGCAAAAAACAGACTTCCAAAAACTATACACGAAAGGTCAACCTCCTCGTCGGCTTCAAGAATCCATTCCTCTCTTCACCGAGCGGCCATGTGCGCCATGTCACCTTCGATGAACCACTGCCTGTGAAGAGTATAGGGGGTCGCAAATAAGCAGAAAGACAGCTAAGCTAGACAGACGGATACATATATAAGTAGGTCAAAAAGCACATATGTCCGGATTTCAGTGTGTCCCGATCAGAAAACATGTAGGTAGACATGTGTATGTATATATATATATATATATATACATATGCAAAGATAGATGCATCTCTGTGCATGTCGATAGATATCACACCCTTTGCTGGATGTAGAGGAAAATGCAGTGCAGCCCAGTTTAACCTATCGCGCCTATAACAAATGTTGAACTGGACAACATCACGAACAGGCACAGAGATGCACATACACCCAGACACCGACGCTGGAAACAAGACAAGCGCAAACAGCGTTTATCTATATCATATATATTATATAAATACAGATATGTATGTTTACAATTTCTGTGTGTCTATAACACAGAAACACATGAATACACATACGAACATCACTACCTACATACATACAACTATACAAACATACAAACATGCATACATGCATACATGCATACATACATACATACAAATAGGTATTACCCGAACAAAATCATAAACATACTTGCATACATATCTGCATGTATACGAAACTACATACGTACGTACATACATACATACACACAAAAATACACACATACACACATGCATGCATGCATACATGCATACATACATACATGCATACACGTATACTACGTACATCCGGATACATGTGCAGGCACACGTGGCGGCCTGGCACCACCCTCAAATCCGCAGGATCACATCCAAACCGCTTCCGCCGAACATCTGACCCATACAGCCAAGACTGCATCCTCTATCCCCAGATAAACCTGGTCCATTTGTTGTGCGTTCCTCTACCGCTACTACCCGGTTGGTCCCAAACATCGGATACAGTATCTTGCGTACGGACTACACGATGCACTCGCGACATTGTCAAGCAGCTGAGATTGAAGACATGACATGGCATTCCTCGAGGTGTCACTAGATCAGAACACCCCAATGCCAAGTAGAAGACCCTAACCCCCGAAAGTACTGTACAAGTCACACAGACACACACAAGCAATTCCTTTCAAGATGCATAGTTCAAAAGACCACATAAAACCCATAACCCCTAAACGCGCTGAGCCCTGCACAGTCGATCCCTGTTGGACTCAGCCCATAAGCCCTGCAGAGCCTGCTGTCGGGACGGGAGGTGCAATCGAGCTGGTAAGGGATTTAGTTCGTTTAGGGTTTAGGGTTTAGGGGTTAGTTTGTTGAGGGTATACGGTTTTGGGTCTAGGGACAATACTTCAAAGTCGCTTGTGGGGATTTTTACGGCTTCATAAGGACAGTTTCGTGCTTGTCAAGGGGCCATTGGGTTCATAAGGGATTTCAATGGTTTTCACACGGGTTCTACATGAGGTGCGAGCGTCTCTTTGAAGGAGGTTGAGGATCTGGAACTGGACCATGATTGCATTTTACATTTGCTTTCGGCGTTTAGGTTTACAGGGCTGCAATAACCCTGCGCCTTAAACCCTACAAGCCCGTGGCGACCATTATAGAACCCTTATTGTAGCAATCCTCATTATAGCAACCTTCTGCGCGAGTCTTTGGTTGGGAGGATGTGGGGTCCTAGAAGGGTTAACTTCGTCAGTCAGTCAGTGTTGAAAACGAGCCCTCCCAAGCTTGTCTAACGATAGGTCAATATTGGGATCTATGTAGGGTTTTCAATAGAGAAGCCAGCTCAAGAATTTCCCATGCTGTGCTTGTCCAGCTCCCCGGATCGAAGCATGCGAAGGGGCTGGAAGGCAGCAATACTACCACCGCCAAGTACAACTACACAAGCCATTGTTGTGCTTGTTTTTTTTGGGGGGCTCCTTTCGTACAGTTTCGCTGGACCTTGGTAAGCCAATAAATGTGAGCATCTCCGCTCAGCGGCCCGTGTACTGCAGGGTGCTTGATTAGAAGAGGGGTTGTGTGCTAGTCGCTACAATAAGCAACCGTCAGAAACTGTGCTATCAAATGACTATACTCAGGCTTCCATAGTCTTCCTACACTACTGAATGGTCCATAGGGCCAGCAATCATTCTGGCTCCTGTGATTGTACAAAGCCCGTGCACCTGCGTCTGCTGCGCGAACATCGGGGCTGCCGGCCCGGACCCCAGACACGGGGCGGCAGCTCTCACTCCGCGAAAAGGCTGCGGAGATGAGATGAGAGTCTCGTTTCAGTTTAGAGTGACTGCTTCCGGCTTGCAGTTCTGTCTGTGTGACTGCCTCAGGCTACAGACCTCTGAATTCCAAAGCCAACCCCATCAGCCTAGCAGCAAGAAGCTGCCCGTGACGGGTTCGTGCGAGGTGGGACTTGCAGAAGTACAATGTAAACGGTTTGCATTTTGAGCGGCTCCATACGACGCATGGGGAGTTAACAAAAAAGGGCATTTCAAAAGATACTTCTAAAAAGGATACTGCCTTTCATAGAGTCTGTGTGAACTTGACCATACCTGTCTCGACAATTCACGGCACACCTGCTGTAGAATGCAATGGCAACATGTGAACTTCGGCGAAGACTCCTAGGTCTTGAGGCCACGGCCCTCACATTCAACTAGTGGATGTTCTGCTCGCCGTAGTCGGTCCTGCAAGCTGGAACTGCATCATTGAAGAGCCTGACTAAATAATTTATTTAGCAAAAGCTCGTGTACAAAAGCCTCGGACAATTCCCGGCCGCCCTGTGAATTTATCTCACTTGGAACATGTTCGAGAGAAGTTGAATGGTCACTGCTTGCTGGTTAAGAAACCTAGAGCAGATAGAAAATGGCACTACTTCCCGCCGAGCCCTCAATATCATCGAGTTTGGAGAGTGTTGCACCATCACACTCCGTCGCACAGATCCGGAAGAGCCCTGTGCGACAAGAATCGCTGGACTAAGCAAATACTCTATGTATGGTCATTGCTGTGCCCATTGGTCCTTGGCTTTTTCGTGCATTGTGAGAGCATGACCGGCCAAGCAGAACAATCGAACTCTGCTTCGCTCGTTGTCAGAAGAAGGAAGAAGCTGCAAAAACTCCAGTTTGCACCCTATATAGGCCTTAGGGCACAGCCTCATAACCCTCAACTCAAACTGCGACGCCCGACACTGTCACAATCACAGACCGTCGACTGCTTGAAAGCGGGTTTAGAAGTTAGTACCCTTCCGCTTAATACCAACACCCAACCGAGGGCTGCAGGGTTTGGGGAGCAGCGCATGTGCATTCAAGACAATGTTTACGATTGATGGCTTCGTATCCAACGGATAATGTTGTAAACGTTAGCTCTTCATCCGAAAGCCGACGACTTGTTCCCAGAGCCAGTGGACAAATTTCTACCCAAGCCAAAAGATCGAGCAACAGAAACATCAACACCAAGCGCTGTAGGCTTTTGGCACGCAGCGTTCTCTTTCTCGCAGAAGCTCAAAACTCCCCTCCAGGCGCTCACATCTTTGAATTTCGCTGCTCGACCTCAACAAAGACTCAAAGAAGCTGGCAGGAATCCGCGTGAATTTGGGGTTAAGGATCTACCTAAAGCCCCCAAAGTAGGTAGAATAATGGCCCAGTGCCCGTAAAAGGCCATTATTTTACATACTTTGGGGGTCGAGGTTAGGCTTTGGAACCCGACCTGGCCTGCACGACTGTCAACCCCAAACTCGAGGCCGCCAAACCATTCGCATCCTATGTCTGGGGTACATAAGGGGCCTTATCAAGGGGGCGGTCCCTGAAGATTCACAGTTCCGAAGTTTACCGCATGAAACCCCAAAAGCCTCTTCCCATCTCCATAGAAGCATGTAGAACACTGTCAAGTGTCAAGCCTTATTTTATTTTATGTGTAACCGAGCGTTTCATGCCATTGGGCCATTTTCTGAACTATAAGACTGATGTCCAAGTCACGGAGCGCTGGTAGGCCGGTCGCTGACAACAGCGCATGTGGTATGCAGTCAGGACTGCCTCTCATTTTAGGGGTTTCGACTTCGCACGCTCGCACGAGGCAGGCACGGCTTCGCATGCAATGCCCCAGCACTAGCACATGGCCCATCAAGACCCAGCCCGACCAACGGTCCACGTGGTGTGTAAAGCAAACACGTCACGTCAGGTCGCAGGAATCGGTGCCTAGCCATAACAAGCCGGTCTTTTCCTCAACCTCATGATCTCAGCTGCCCTTCCCGAGGCCTGAGTCTACGATCAAGCTAGAAATACTTCGATCACAATTAGCTGGGCAAGCTCAGGGGCCTCAATCGCATCCCTTCGGGCTCGTGGATTAAAGCCCCTATAAATGCATTCGCCATCAGCGCGTGAAACCTTGTTGGCGCCTCAATCACTGATTGCCAGCTCCTTGCTGTGAGAAATGCATCGCCAGTGCCTCGTTTCTTGCGACGAAATTCTGGATGATGAGCTCGACGGTCTTGGCCATCTCGTCACCAATGGAGTTGTATCCGAGGTCGATGTGACTGACGGTCGTGTTCTTCTCGAGAGCTCTAACCAGTGCAATAACACCCTGGTCACCAATGGAGTTCCTGCCGAGGTTGATGTGAGTGACGGTCGCGTTCTTCTCGAGGGCTCCAGCCAGTGCCTCAGCACCCTCGTCACCAATGGAGTTGCTGCCGAGGTCGATGTGAGTGACGGTCGCGTTCTTCTCGAGGGCTCCAGCCAGTGCTGTAGCACCCTGGTCACCAATGGAGTTGCCGCCGAGGTCGATGTGAGTGACGGTCGCGTTCTTCTCGAGGGCTCCAGCCAGTGCCTCCGCACCCTCGTAAAAAATGGAGTGGCCGCCGAGGTTGATGTGAGTGAGGGTCACGTTCTTCTCGAGGGCTCCAGCCAGTGCCCTAGCACCCTCGTCACCAATAAAGTTGTACCGGAGGACGATGTGAGTGACAGCCAGTGCCTTAGCACGCTCGTCACCAATGGAGTTGCAGAGCTCGATGTGAGTGACGGTCGCGTTCTTCTCGAGGGCTCCAGCCAGTGCCTTCGCACCCTCGTCACCAATGGAGTTGGCGCCGAGGTCGATGTGAGTGACGGTCGCGTTCTTCTCGAGGGCTCCAGCCAGTGCCTTCGCACCCTCGTCATCAATGGAGTTGTACACGAGGTCGATGTAAGCGACGGTCGCTTTCTTCTCGAGTGCTCCAGCCAGTGCCCTGGCACCTTCGACACCAATGGAGTTGTCGCCGAGCTCGATGTGAGTGACGGTCGCGTTCTTCTCGAGGGCTCCAGCCAGTGCCTTGGCACCTTCGACACCAATGGAGTTGCCGCCGAGGTCGATGTGAGTGACGGTCGCGTTCTTCTCGAGGGCTCCAGCCAGTGCCTTCGCACCCTCGTCACAAATGGAGTTGCCGCCGAGGTTGATGTGAGTGACGGTCGCGTTCTTCTCGAGGGCTCCAGCCAATGCCTTGGCACCTTCGTCGCCAATGGATTTCCACGAAAGTTCGATGCGAGCGACAGTCTTGCTGAGGCGAACCATTTCTCCTAATGCCAAAGGACTGAGGCCTGCCAGATCCTCCCGAGACCAAGTCGTTTTAATCAGAAGCTCGGGCTTGATGCCCCTGTGTGCTTCTGCCAAGGCTGTTTCTCGCAAACTTTCCTCTGCATGCAGGATGGTCCCCAGCAGAGAAGTTTGCAGTGGGATGTTGCCGGATGCGAAAGCACCGGCCAGGCGTTTGCCTGTGGACCGCATGGTCCAGCGGCCGAGCTGCTTGTTGCAGAGAAAGCCAAAGGCCGTTTGGAGAAGTGGAACTGCCAGCTGCATCAAGGTGACAAACTTGGACCCTCCTTCTAGATAAACGTAGAGAAGGGCAAAGACGCCCTGCGGCCCGGCTTCCCAAAGCAGAAGCCTGATCTTGCCGGGAGTTGTTTGCTTGTAGAGCTCGTGCAGACTTTTCTCCACTTTCGTCCAGCACCGCCCTTCACCTTCTGCAGCTTCAGATTCATCGTTCGCTGGCTGCGCGCTGGCAAAGGGGAAGTAACTGCCCGAGAGGTCCACTCAATGTCACGAAGCAGCCTGTAGTGCACGCACGGCAGCCAAACGAGGCTGGCAAATCCAGCCAGGCGCAATGCCCAGTGTTCCGACATGATGCAAAGGGCCCCGAAGACGACATCTTTCAACGTGTCGAAGGAATCTGCCATGAAGGGCATGTTCGCTGCCACCGTGCCCAAGGTAAAGGTGTCGATCGGGAAGCGGCTCGCAGGGCCTACGCTCCTGATGGCTGTGACGGCCTGCCAGAGCAGCCTCGTGCCCTGCATCACAAACAAGACCAGGTACACTTCAAAGTCCAGGCCAGTCGCTTTGGACAGTCGGCTGAAGCGCAGGCTCGCAAAGACGGCTACAAGGGAAATCAGGTAGGTGCCAAAAAATGCTCTCCACACATCTCCACTTTCCAGTGGCCTGGCGGCCGAGGCGACCCTTTCGAAACCCGACGGGTCTGTGCATCTGCCGCAGCAGCGGGTCATGATGGCCGTGCCGATGAGGCAAAGCAGCATCCAGGCGATGACGTGCGCTGAGACGAAGAATCCCAGCCGTTGCCCCGCTTGCTTCGGAGAGAACTCTTTGATCTGCTCCGTGTCGGGGAGCCATGCTGGGTTCTCTGCAAGTGCTGTCGGGAGGTGAGCATGTAGGGCCAAGTGCCCTCCCACTTCGAAGTCGAGCGCCGCGGTGCCGCCCTGCAGCGCGGCGGAGGCGTTCGCCACCGGGATTTGGAACTGCACGGCGTCGGCCACGTCTTCCACCACATCTGGAAGGACCAAGGCATGAGCAGTCGCAAGAAGCAACAGCGAAGGCACCATGGCTCTGGCCGCAGATTCGCAAGCCTCGCGCAACCTAGAATCTCCCCCTCCCGGCAGCTGAGCCCAGAACTCTCATACATGCAGACACGAATCGTGTTTGTGCTTGCCTCTCTGCTTGTTTGGTGCTCTGATTCTACCGCCGGGTCCTGTGCATGTACGTCTCTGTATCTGTTTTTGCATTGACAGCCGCAAGCATATCACAGGATGGCATCCACAACGCACGGCTCACCATGCGTTTACTTGATTCATGTAGTTCCTGCGCTGGCGCATCAACATGTATGCCTGCAAACATGATGTCAAAATGCATCACATCCTGATACTCAGCATACCGAAGCATGCAATCTTCGGACATGCTGGGTAAATGTGTCACCTGATGCTGTCAATCTTCCAGTGGGGTTCAACTGAACAACTCGAGAGCCTCGTGACACCCTCAGTTAACAAGCCCCCTACAAAGCCTTACAGAAACCCTTTCAAACTTTCGCGAATCCCCATGCCCTCCCCCCACTCTTCCTCAAGCGTTCCCGCCTCCACCTCTCCCGTGATCTCGGGGGTTGGAAGCCACTTGATGGCCGAAGCCCAGTCGAGACCTCGGAGCTTCGGTGCTCTAGGATTTAGGAGTGCAAGGTTTAGGATTTATGGTTCATAAAGTTCAGAGAGTGTACAGGACAGGGGTTCGAGGCTTAGGGTTTATAGGGCTTACAGGATTTGGAGGTTCAGGGTTTAGGGGTTTTAGGAGTTTTCCTTATAGGGCCTTTGAGGCCACAGGCTCAACGAACTGTAAAGCAACAACTCCAAAACTTCCTAACTCGGCTCGAGAGATGGAAACCACCACCAGGGTCCTTGTTAGACTTGTCTCTGATCCTTCTGCTGAGGTGGGAACACTACACCTCAGACCCTCGAAACGTTGCAAAAGCAACGCATTCCGTTCTAGGTGCTCTACCCCTATAAGCTTACAGCTCAAGTAAGAGCTCGCCCGCAGAACCCCTGTATGCTCTGAGAACGCAAGTAATGGCCCCGGTCCTTGGGCGCTCTCCTTCCCCGAGGGCCCCACAGTGCACCAGTAGGATGTCTGCGGCACTGAAATTTGCTCCCAGGAGATAGTCACCGGCCTCCGCCACATGAACGTCTGCCATTAACATTGTCTAGTCCGGGCCCGGGTATGCGGAAGAACCCTCAGTGATTATTCTGAACCTTTTACAAGACTATGACTGTGACATGGTGTTGAATATAGCGACTATGTGTATATGCGAGATTCGCTCTCAGTTTGAGGCTGCAAAGTCAGGGTCAGCTTGGCATTCGCAGGACCTCCTGCAGGATCTTACTCTGTCTCTAGTCATATCTAGCACGAGAGGCGCCTCACAGGCAAGCCGCGTATCGTGAACGACTACGACAACATGAAGTCATGGAAAGTCCAAGACGGGTGGCCGGGGAAAGCTGTGCCATCCCAACCTTTTCTAGGGGCTTCTTTAGAATATTGTAGCATACAATAGACAAGTATGTGTTCCGGTTCGATACTCAACAAGAGAGCGGTTGACTGCGAAAAGTTGCCGGACATGACTTGCTTTGTGGCATCTTCCGGGACAGCCGTTCGGGTCAGAGAGATATACAAGGGAACATTCATTCTTTGCGTTCAAGAAGCTTCCTGTAGGTGCGCCACCAGAATCTTCAACCTTGAAGATTCGCACGGCAAATTAAGGCTTGCAATATGTATGGGTCAGCGCTTCGGGATTCGGACACGTGAAGTCGCTTGGACTCGAAGTTAAAGCTCTTGCTTGGCAAGCTTTCTGCCCTATCTTGTTAAATGCAGACTTCATTTTGGGTGGGGCTACGTTGTCCTTAAGGAGTCTGGAGGACTTAAGGGCTGAGGGCAAGAGCCTCAATAATGATTGATACTATTCCTTCGGGTTCCTTAATATAGCTTCAGTATGACATGACCCCAAACCCTATTCTTGCGCATCCCAATACTACTTTTCCCAATTGCGAGAACTCAAACAGTCTACTGACTGCTGCAAGCCGATCCTCGTGTGAGTCAGGGCTGAGGATTGAGGGCGTTTAGGACTTGGGCTTAGGGTTTGAGGGCTTAATTTCGTCAAGCTCTGCAAATATACATAAGTGTTGGTGAGATCTTAAAATCTATAGACCCTGAAGCCCTAGAAATTCCTCTACCCCATCATAAGCTGTATATTACCCTCCAAATTCCAGTTACGGCTTTTCGGGCGTAGTGTCTGCCACTCCTGTCGGCTTGAAAGTGTTCCATCACTGAGCTTGGTTTTCTTCTACGACTTGGTTGGAAGGCGTCTTCGCGTTGACGGAGGGCAGATATTTGCTCTCTTTTCTAGCTCTCGGGTCATCAGGGATGTGGGCTCTACCGTACGGTTTCAGGGTTGCGCCCTTGTTGAAAAGCTGGTCGCAGATGTGCACTCGGCTCCCTGAAGTGGCGACTGGATGCTACAACAGTCTACTACAGTTCAAGCTTCGAGGCTCGGCTGTCTGTATAACTCACCTATCTTCGGCTTAGGTTTTGCGAAATCGTGCCATACTTCTGGTACCCAATGTGGCCTGCATGCCTAGGAGTGTTTGCCGCCTACACTCGATGGAGTTTTTCACGGACCTAATTCACTGTAATCGGAGGCTACAGGGTCTGAGCTCTTAGGATCATAGGGTTTAGCAGTAAGGTTTAGGGGCCTTTGCCTCCTACCTCGCCAGGGTTTAGGGATTAGCGGCTCGTGGAGACGTGTCGCCGCCCTGAGCGCATTGATGATTTAGGGGCGCGCAGCTATGACACGCTGGTGATGTTTCCAGGAACCTGGTGCGGATCCTGAACCCTTAACCACCCCAATCCCCAAACCCACCTCGAGTTTCAACCTTCCTGCCATGTCCCTCAGCCATGCTGCGTGCTGTAGACATGCTGGCGGGCATGTTCAACGGCCTGCAGGGTGCTGATGAGCCGGTTCGGCTTTGGGGCTTTCGGCTATACACCATGATTTGCACAGCTTCGGGTTGGAGTTTGGCGGATCTGGAACCCAAAGGGCCCCAACGCCATGATTGTCATGATCAATTGGGATGCTCTTGCCTTGAACGCTCCAGGGCCCTCGAGGTTCTGCATCTGGGATCCCGAGATTTCAATTGTCTGATGTACGGATCTGAGTTTCGATTTCTTAGGTCAATGCATCTGCACCCTTACAGCTAACGCTAACCACCACTGCCACCTTTGCTGCAGATCATACGAAAATGCATGACGACAGCAGGCGCTATCTCATGGCCGTTGGGCAGGGGCATCGCTAGTACTGGATACAGGGCCAGTGTACGCAGTCTAACGGTTTTCTCAAGATCCAGTGGAACATGTTGGACAAGCATGCAACCTACCCATCTCAACTGAGACGGTTTACACCACCGACAGGGAAACAAGACCAGTACTGAGAGTCACTCTACTTCACTGTATGCTACGCAGATGCGAATGCCGAGCAGCATGCAGCCTTTGATGTGGCCAGTAGAATGAAACACTGCTCCTGGCCTTGACTTGGCATAGCAGAAAGTCTATCCCGGTAGCCATCAGAAACACGAACTGCATCATCAGCATCAACAACAGCAGCAGTGGCAACACGATTGAATAGCGCTCAGAAGATGAACCGCTCCATCAACTCCCCTAAAAGGGTTGATCAGATCAGACAACAAGGGCTCACAGAGGCAAGGGCTTTGGGTATAACATCTGAATGGATGTGAAGCTGGGCCGAAGGCCATTCTACCTTGCTAGTTTCTCATCCAAGTTCTGTTCGTCTGAGGACTTCAGCTGTGTGACATCAGTAACGGCCTCGGGCGCAGCACCAAACACTTGCTTCAGGGCCTTGCCAGACAGCAAGCTTGTGTTTGGGCTCTCAAGGCTTTGCCGAGAGCATCGTTCGGGGAACAGGAAAGATTTGGAAGAGGGTTGAAGGGTGCGCGGGAAGTCCCTGCCATATGCAGTAAGGACGCTACCTACTGGTATGTGCGCAAGGGCAACTATGTGGATATGGAGTTGCCCACGCCCAAAATGGTATAGGTAACTATTGTAAGGCCACTATAATATAGTATCCCTATAGATCCCTTAAAGTAACCCTTACAGTCCCTGTAAAGGGGAGAATGAGCTGTCGGTCAACCACAGCTCGGGTGGTAACATGCAGCAGACTAAGCAAGGTAGGCATTGTGGCTACGGCCACAGGGTATGCAGGCTGCTGCAAGGTGGCAGGGTCAAATCAACTAGTACGTCGTGAAACCATTGCGAAGCAAAGCTTTTCCTTCAATCAATAATACAAGGGCCTTGATAATTAGAACAGTACCCTGATAGACCACTTAAAGCAGCCCTTATGGTCCCTTTAAAGGAACCCTAGGGCCCCTATTAAGGCCTTTATATTAGGCGGCCGGGGCCCTGCGATGCTAATCCGTGGAGGGTTTATAGGGTTTAAGGTTTATAGGGGTTTAAAGTTTTAGGGTTTAAGGCTTTAGGGTTTAGGGTTTAAGGTTTATAGGGCTTTAGGGTTTCAGGGTTTAGCGCTTAGAGGCCTTTATAGTAGAATGTAAGGTTTCTATACTAGGAATCGTTTCTATGATCTGGGGAAGAATCCCCCATAACAGTACCTGGGACCCTTTGGGAATGGCACCACTGAGACGATTGAGTGAGGCTACGTGGGCGAAAGTTGGGACAGAAGAAGAAAAGGAGTTTTACACCAAGGCAACAACCCGAAAAAGGAGCCGTCAACTATAAGAAGACACCTTTCAAAGCTCAGAAGGATGAATTGCATGCGGCAGCGCTTCGAGGATACAGATGCGGGACAAACTTTGTAGAGTTTGAAGTAGGAGGTTCCCGATAGGCCCTGCGGGTACGTGTGTGTGTATATATACCGATGTAGATACAGTAAATGGATGTACGAGTGAATATGCGCATATAACTGGGTAATGGGTCAAACTGAACGTTTGGGTAGAAGTGCGCTGAATAAAAAGGCGGGAGGCCGTCACTATGTTCGAAAAGACTGAGGCCAGAGAAGGATTCGGGCATAGGGGTTCTTGGGATCTGCTCTCACGCTCACGCTCGGACGAAATGAGGGCTTAAGGCCGTAGCTTGTTTTACAATTCTGTCTCAGGGCTTCAGGGTTTAAGGCTTTAGATTACAGGCCTGCCTGGTGTTTGCGGTGAAGCCAGAGGCCCTGCAGGCAAGCCGCGATTGCAGGGATGTGTTCTTCAGATCAAGATGATCATCCATCTACTTCGCGAGTTTAGTCCCTTATTGTTTTGAAGGAACGTCGACATCACAAAGCGACACCAGAGCAAAGAGTCTAATAGTCTAACAACTGGAGTTTGTCTTGACGTGCAACCCAACATCCAAACTTCGCCTCGCTTAAGACTACCCGTCATCATCATGGCTTGTTCGTGTTTTTTCTTTTTCACTCCTTGAGCACTCTCTATATCTCCCTCTTGCTGTCCGCCCCCTCTCTCTCTCTCTCTCTCTGTCTCTCTCTCTCTCTCTCTCTCTCTCTCTCTCTTTCTTCTCGCAGCTTGAGGAGCAAGGTGTGGATCTTTTGTGATAAGTAAGGCTGAAGTAGTCCCAAAAAACAGTGCACGCTGATGACATGATGATAACAATGATGGCCGCTATTTCTGTCGTATTTGGTACAGTACAGCCTTGTGGCAAAAGCTTGATAACAAAATCGGAATCCACAAAACCAAACTGCTGCTCACAGACAGCGTTGCGTAAGGTCTACTGACACGGTGCATCTGTGCCAGGGTGTCAACAGTCGAACAAAAACAGCCCAGGTGCCTGGGCGTCCAGTTCGGTTATGATGGTGAAGACCAGCTGCTCATATCTGGTCGTGCAAGGCATGAGAACAAAACCCCCGCCTCATAGACTCAACGGAGTGGTTATAGAACTGAACACTGAGGACAAGTGCATTACATACTCCTCCTGTTGCTAGCCCACCTGGCGCTGTGCGCAAAGCGACTCCATAATGGCCACTGGCAAGTTTGTCAGTCATCGCTTCTGCTCTTGGTGCCCAAGTAGTGAATATAAGCACACCTTCATCGCGGTTCTACTAGTCGGACGATCTTAGGTTTGTCCGTCAACTTCTCCAGTCTCACACTTTCACCTCCTGAGATCCGAAATAAAGAAAGCCTTCGTAAACCTTGCATGAGCCCTAAACTCCTAAACCCTGAACCCTTAATCTCGAAACACTAAACCCTGAACTCTAATCCCCATAAAACCCCAAACCCTGAACCTTGAACCCTAAACACCAAACCCTGAACCTTAAACCACCCTTAACCCTAAGCCCTTTTCAACCTGGACTAGGCCCTAGGCATATGCCAGGAACCGAGGCGTGTGGACTCGTGCCACACGGCTGAATCTCACTTGGAACATGTTCGAGAGAAGCCTGGGTAGCGCGGAATGGTCACAATCACAGACCGTCGACTGCTTGAAAGCAGGGTTTAGAAGCTAGTACCCTTCCGCTCAATACCGAAACCCAACCGAGGGCTGCAGGGTTTGGGGAGCAGTTCGTGTGCCTTCAAGACAGGGTTTAGGATTGATGGCTTCGTATCCAACGGATAACATGTAAACTTTAATTAGCTCTTCATCCGCAAGCCGACTACTTGTTCTCAGAGCCAGTGGGCTAATTTCTATCCAAGCCAAAAGATCGGACGACAAAAAAATCAACACCAAGCGCTGTAGGCTTTTGGCACGCTGGGTTCTCTTTCTCGCAGAAGCCCAAAACTCCCCTCCAGGCGCTCACATCTTTGCATTTCGCTGCTCGACCTCAACAAAGAAGCTGGCAGAGATCCGCGTGATTTTGGGGGTTAAGGATCTACCTACACCCCCAAAAGTAGGTAGAATGATGGCCCAATACCTGTAAAAGGCCATAATTCTATGTACTTTGGGGCTCAGGACCTAAGGTTTTGAACCTGACCTTGCCTGCACGTCTGTCAACCCAAAACTCGAGGCCACCGAACCATTCGATCCTATGTGTCTGGGGGGTACAAGGGGCCTTATTAAGGGGGCGGTCCCTGATGATTCACAGTTCCAAAGTTTACCGTATGAAACCCCAAAAGCCTCTTCCCATCCCCATAGAAGCATGTAGAACACTGTCAAGCGTCAAGCCTTATTTTATTTTATGTGCAACCGAGCGTTTCATGCCATTGGGCCATTTTCTGAACTATAAGACTGATGTCCAAGTCACGGAGCGCTGGTAGGCCGGTCGCTGGCAACAGCGCATGTGGTATGCAGTCAGGACTGCCTCTCAGTGTAGGGGTTTCGCAAGGCAGGCACGGCTTCGCATTCCAATGTCCCAGCACTAGCACATGGCCCATCAAGACCCAGCCCAACCAAGGGTCCACATGGCAAAGCAAACACATCACGTCAGGTCGCAGGAATCGGTGCCTAGCCATAACAAGCCGGTCTTTTCCTCAACCTCATGATCTCAGCTGCCCTTCCCGAGGCCTGAGTCTACGATCAAGCTAGAAATACTTCGATCACAATTAGTTGGGCAAGCTCAGGGGCCTCAATCGCATCCCTTCGGGCTCGTGGATTAAAGCCCCCTATAAATGCATTCGCCATCAGCGCGTGAAACCTTATGTTGGCGCCTCAATCACTGATTGCCAGCATCGCCCGTTCTTTGTTTTTTGCGACGATCTTCTGGATGTGCTCGACGGTTTTGGCACCCTTGTAACCAATGGAGTTGCTGGAGAGGTCGATGCGAGTGACAGTCCTGTTCTTCTCGAGGGCTCCAGCCAGTGCGTTAGCACCCTCGTCACCAATGGAGTTGCCGCAGAGGTCGATGTGAGTGACGGTCGCGTTCTTCTCGAGGGCTCCAGCCAGTGCCTTCGCACCCTCGACATCGATGGAGTTGCCGCTGAGGTTGATGTGAGCGACAGTCGCGTTCTTCTCGAGGGCTCCAGCCAGTGCCTTAGCACCGTCGACACCAATGGAGTTGTTGCTGAGGTTGATGTGAGCGACGGTCGCGTTCTTCTCGAGGGCTCCAGCCAGTGCCTTAGCACCGTCGACACCAATGGAGTTGTATTCGAGGTCGATGTGAGCGACGGTCGCGTTCTTCTCGAGGGCTCCAGCCAGTACCTCAGCACCCTCGACACGAATGGAGTTGTTCTCGAGGTCGATGTGAGTGACGGTCGCGTTCTTCTCGAGGGCTCCAGCCAGTGCCTTAGCACCGTCGACACCAATGGAGTTGTTCCGGAGTTCGATGTGAGTGACGGTCGCGTTCTTCTCGAGGGCTCCAGCCAGTGCCTTAGCACCGTCGACACCAATGAAGTTGCCGCAGAAGTCGATGTGAGTGACGGTCGCGTTCTTCTCGAGGGCTCCAGCCAGTGCCTTCGCACCCTCGACATCGATGGAGTTGCCGCAGAGGTTGATGTGAGCAACGTTCGCGTTCTTCTCGAGGGCTCCAGCCAGTGCCTTAGCACCTTCGTCACCAATGTCAGCGTTTCTGATGTCTATGGTGCTGACAGTTTTGCGGAGGAGAGCCATTGCTCCTAATGCCAAAGGACTGAGGCCTGCCAGATCCTCCCGAGACCAGGTCGTTTCAGTCAGAAGCTTGGGCTTGATGCCCCTGCGTGCTTCTGCCAGGGCTGTTTCTCGCAAACTTTCCTCTGCATGCAGGATGGTCCCCAGCAGAGAAGTTTGCAGTGGGATGTTGCCGGATGCGAAAGCACCGGCCAGGCGTTTGCCTGTGGACCGCATGGTCCAGCGGCCGAGCTGTTCGTTGCAGAGAAAGCCAAAGGCTGTCTGGAGAAGTGGAACTGCCAGCTGCATCAAGGTGACAAACTTGGACCCTCCTTCTAGAAAAACGTAGAGAAGGGCAAAGACGCCCTGCGGCCCGGCTTCCCAAAGCAGAAGCCTGATCTTGCCGGGAGTTGTTTGCTTGTAGAGCTCGTGCAGACTTTTCTCCACTTTCGTCCAGCAGCGCCCTTCACCGTCTGCAGCCTCAGACTCATCGTTCGCTGGTTGCGCGCTGGCAAAGGGGAAGTAACTGCCCGAGAGGTCTGCAACACACTCAATGTCACGAAGCAGCCTGTAGTGCACGCACGGCAGCCAAACGAGGCTGGCAAATCCAGCCAGGCGCAATTCCCAGTGTTCCGACATAATGCATAGGGCCCCGAAGATGACATCCTTTAATGTGTCGAAGGAATCTGCCATGAAGGGCATGTTCGCTGCCACCGCGCCCAAGGTAAAGGTGTCGATCGGGAAGCGGCTCGCGGGGCGTAAGCTGCTGATGGCTGTGACGGCCTGCCCGAGCAGCCTCGCGCCCTGCATCACAAACAAGAACAGGTACACTTCAAAGTCCAGGCCAGTCGCTTTGGACAGTCGGTTGAAGCGCAGGCTCGCAAAGACGGCTACAAGGGAAATGAGGTAGGTGCCAAAAAATGCTCGCCACACATCTCCACTTTGCAGTGGCCTGCCGGCCGGGGCGACCCTTTCGAAACCCGACGGCTCTGTGCATCTGCCGCAGCAGCGAGTCATGATGGCCGTGCCGATGAGGCAAAGCAGCATCCAGGCGATGACGTGCGCTGAGACGAAGAATCCCAGCCGTTGCCCCGCTTGCTTTGGAGAGAACTCTTTGATCTGCTCCTTGTCGGGAAGCCATGCCGGGTTCTCTGCAAGCGCCGTCGGGAGGTGAGCATGTAGGGCCAAGTGCCCTCCGACTTCGAAGTCGAGCGCTGCGGTGTGGCCCTGCAGCGAGGCAGAGGCGTTCGCCACCGGGATTTGGAACTGCACGGCGTCGGCCACGTCTTCCACCACATCTGGAAGGACCAAGGCATGAGCAGTCGCAAGAAGCAACAGCAAAGGCACCATGGCTCTGGCCGCAGATTCGCAAGCCTCGCAACACCTAGAATCTCCCCCTCCCGGCAGCTGAGCCCAGAACTCTCATACATGCAGACACGAATCGTGTTTGTGCTTGCCTCTCTGCTTGTTTCGTGGTATGATTATACCGCCGGGTCCTGTGCATGTAGGTCTGCATATCTGAATCTGCTTTTGCATTGACAGCCGTAAGCATCTCACAGGAAGGCATCCACAGTTCCTGCGCTGGCACATCAAGATATATGCCTCTAAACATGATGCCAACATGCACCACGCACATACTCAGCCTACCGAAGCATGCAATCCTCGGACATGCTGAGTAAATGCGTCGCATGATGCTGTCAATCTTGCAGTGGGGTTCAACTGAACAACTCGAGAGCCTCATGACACCCTTAGTTACCCAGCCCCCTACAAAGCCTTACAGAAACCCATCCCCAACTCTTCCTCAACCGTTCCCGGAGCTTCCCTCGGGCAGCCTCCACCTCTCCCGTGATCTCGGGGGTCGGAAGCCACTTGATGGCCGAAGCCCAGTCGAGACCTCAGGGCTTCGGTGCTCTAGGATTTAGGAGTGCAAGGTTTAGGATTTATGGCTCATAAAGTTCAGAGAGTGTACAGGACAGGGGTTCGAGGCTTAGGGTTTATAGGGCTTACAGGATTTGGAGGTTCAGGGTTTAGGGGTTTTAGGAGTTTTCCTTATAGGGCCTTTGAGGCCACAGGCTCAACGAACTGTAAAGCAACAACTCCAAAACTTCCTAACTCGGCTCGAGAGATGGAAACCACCACCAGGGTCCTTGTTAGACTTGTCTCTGATCCTTCTGCTGAGGTGGGAACACTACACCTCAGACCCTCGAAACGTTGCAAAAGCAACGCATTCCGTTCTAGGTGCTCTACCCCTATAAGCTTACAGCTCAAGTAAGAGCTCGCCCGCAGAACCCCTGTATGCTCTGAGAACGCAAGTAATGGCCCCGGTCCTTGGGCGCTCTCCTTCCCCGAGGGCCCCACAGTGCACCAGTAGGATGTCTGCGGCACTGAAATTTGCTCCCAGGAGATAGTCACCGGCCTCCGCCACATGAACGTCTGCCATTAACATTGTCTAGTCCGGGCCCGGGTATGCGGAACGACCCTCAATGATTATTCTGAACCTTTTACAAGACTATGACTGCGACATGGTGTTGGATAAGCTACCACGTGTATATGCGAGATTCGCTCTCAGTTTGAGGCTGCAGAGTTATGGTCAACTCGGCATATGCCGGACCTCCTGCAGGATCTGACTCTGTCTCTAGTCATATCTAGCACGAGAGACGCCTCACAGGCAAGCCGCGTATCGTAAACCATTACGGCAACATGGAGTCACGGAAAGTCCAAGACGGGTGGCCGGGGAAAGCTGTGCCATCCCAACCTTTTCTAGGGGCTTCTTTAGAATATTGTAGCATACAATAGACAAGTATGCGTTCCGGTTCGACACTCAACAAGAGAGCGGTTGACTGCGAAAAGTTGCCGGACATGACTTGCTTTGTGGCATCTTCTGGGATAGCCGTTCGGGTCAGAGAGATATACAAGGGAACATTCATTCTTTGCGTTCAAGAAGCTTCCTGTAGGTGCGCCACCAGAATCTTCAACCTTGAAGATTCACACGGCAAATTAAGGCTTGCAATATGTACGGGTCAGCGATTCGGGATTCGGACACCTGAAGTCGCTTGGACTCGAAGTTAAAGCTCTTGCTTGGCAAGCTTTCTGCCCTATCTTGTTAAATGCAGACTTCTTTTTGGGTGGGGCTACGTCATCCTCCAGGAGTCTGGAAGACTTCAGGGCTGAGGGCAAGAGCCTCAATAATGATTGATACTATTCCTTCGGGTTCCTTAATATAGCTTTAGTATGACATGACCCCAAACCCTATTCCTGCGATTAAGGCCCCAATACTATTGCGAGAAATCAAACAGTCTACTGATTGCTGCAAGCCGATCCTCGGCCGAGTCAGGGCCGAGGATCTAGGGCGTTTAGGAGGTGGGCTTAGGGTTTGAGGGCTTAATTTAGTCAAGCTCTGCGAGTATACACAAGTATTGGTGAAGTCTTAAACTCCATAGACCCTAAAGCCCAAGAAATTTCACCACCCAATAATAAGCTGTATATTACCCTCTAAAATTCCAGTTACGGCTTTTCGGGCGTAGTGTCCGCCACTCCTGTCGGTTTGAAGATGTTCCATCACTGAGCTTGGTGTCCTTCTACGACTTGGTTCGAAGGCGTCTTTGCGATGACGGAGGGCGGATATATGCTCTCTTCTCTAGCCCTCGGGTTATCAGGGATGTGGGCTCTACCGTACGGTTTCAGGGTTGCGCCCTTTGTTGAAAAACTTGTCGCAGATGCGCACTCGGATTGGTTTCCTTTGCTACGACAATCTGTTAAAGTGCAAGCTTCGGGGCCCTGCCGTCTGTAGCTCACCTATCTTCGGTTGAGGTTTTGCGAAATCGTGCCTAGGAGTGCTTGCCGCCTACACTCGATGGAGTTTTCACGGGCCTAATTCACTGTAATCGGAGGCTACAGGGTCCAAGACTTGAGTTTCGAAAATGCTTTTAGGCTTTGGGGCTGTGCTTTTAGGATCCTAGGGTTTAGCAGTAAGGTTTAGGGGCTTTTTTGCCTCCTACCTCGCCAGGCTTTAGGGATTAGCGGTTCGTGGAGACGTGTCGCCGCCCTGAGCGCCTTGAGGGTTTAGGGAGCGCAGCTATGACACGCTGGTGATTTTTCCAGAACCTAGTGCGGATCCTGAACCTTGAACCACATAATTACCCCAATCCCCAAACCCACCTCGAGTTTCAACCTTCCTGCCATGTCCCTCAGCCATGCTGCGTGCTGTAGACATGCTGGCGGGCATGTTCCACGGCCTGCAGGGTGCTGATGAGCAGGTTCGGCTTTGGGCTTTCGGCTATACACCATGATTTGCACAGCTTCGGGTTGGAGTTTGGCGGATCTGGAACCCAAAGGGCCCCAACGCCATGATTGCCATGATCAATTGGGATGCTCTTGCCTTGAACGCTCCAGGGCCCTCGAGGTTCTGCATCTGGGATCCCGAGATTGTCTGACGTACCGATCTGAGTTTCGATTTCTTAGGTCAATGCAGCTGCACCCTTACAGCTAGCCACCACTACCACCTTTGCTGCAGATGATACGATGCGTAAGTGCTGGGATAACAAAAACAATCAAATGCATGAAGACAGCAATCGCTATCCCATGGCCATTCGCCAGGGGCGTCGCTAGTACTGATACTGCTAGAGGTTTGAAGTACAAGGCCAACATACGCAGTCTAACGGTTTTCTCAAGATCAAGGGGAACATGCTGGACAAGCATGCAACCTACACAGGTCAACTGAGACAGTTTACGCCACCGACAGGGAGACCAGTACTGAGAGTCACTCTACTTCAGTCTATGCTATGAAGATGCGAGTGCTGAGCAGCATGCAACCGTTGATGTGGCCAGTAGAATGAAACTCGTGGCCTTGACTTGGCATAGCAGAAAGTCTACCCCGGTAGCCATCAGAAACACGAACTACAACATCAGCATCAACAACAGCAGCAGTGGCAACAACAGTGAATAGCGCTTAGAAGATGAACCATTCCATCAACTCTCGTAAGAAAGGGTTGATCAGACAACAAGTGTTCACAGAGGTATGGGTTCTGGGTATAACATCTGAATGGATGCGAAGCTGGGCTGGAGGCCATTCTACCCTCTAGTTTCTCATCCAAGTTCTGTTCGTCTGAAGACTTCAGCTGTGTGACATCATGAACGGCCTCGGGCGCAGCACCAAACACTTGCTTCAGGGCCTTGCCAGGCAGCAAGCTTGTGTTTGGGCTCTCATGCAAGGCTTTGCCGAGAGCATCGTTCGGGGAACGGGAAACATGTGGAAGAGGGTTGAAGGGTGTGTGTGTGTGTGGGGGAACCCCCAACATAGTATAGGTAACTATTATACGGCCACTGTAGTATAGTACCCCTATAGATCCGTTAAAGTAACCCTTACAGTCCCTGTAAAGGGGAGAATGAGCTGTCGGTCAACCACAAGTCGGGTGGTAACATGCAGCAGACTAAGCAAGGAGTTGTAGGCAGTGTGGCTACGGCTACAGGGTATGCAGCATGCAGGCTGCTGCAGGGTGGCACGGTCAAATCAACTAGTACGTCATGAAACCATTGCGAAGCAAGCTTGTCCTTCTATCAGCAGGCGGCCAGGGCTGCTCATCCCTCCCAGGCCCATGTCCTACGCCCCCAACTTTGCAGCCGGGCCATTCTGAGAATGTGCGAGAAAGTTGGGTCAAAAGAGAACTAGGAGTTTTACACCAAGGCAACAACCGGATAAGTGAGCCGTGAACTATAAGAAGACACCTCAAAGCTCAGAAGGATGAACTGAATGCGGCGGCGCTTCGAGGATACGGATGCCGGACAAACTTTGTAGAGTTTGAAGTAGGACGTTCCCGATAGGCCCTGTGGGTATGTGTATATATATATATACATATACATACATTATATTCTTACAATACATGGATGTACGAGTGAATATCCGCATATATCTGGGTAATGGGTCAAACTGAATGCCAAGTCCCAAGGGTTTGGGTAGAAGTGCGCTGAATAAAAAAGGCGGGAGGCCGTCGCTATGTCCGAAAAGACTGAGACCAGAGAAGGATTCGGGCATAAGGGTTCTTGGGATCTGCTCTCACGCTCACGCTCGGACGAGATGAGGGCTTAAGGTCGTAGCTTGTTGTACCAATTCTGTCTCAGGACTTCAGGGTCTAAGGCTGTAGATTACAGGCCCGCCTGGTGTTTGCGGTGAAGCCAGAGGCCCTGCAGGCAAGCCGCGATTGCAGGGATGTGTTCTTCAGATCAAGATGATCATCCACCTACTTCGCGAGTTTAGCAGTTATAGGGTCCCTTATTGTTTTGAAGGAACGTCGACATGGCAAAGCGACACCAGAGCAGAGGGTCTAACAACTGGAGCCTGGAGTTTGTTTTGACATGCGTGACCCCCAGAAACCCAAAATCCAAACTTCGCCTTACTTAAGACTACCCGTCATCATGGCTTGTGCGTGCTTTTTCACTCCTTGGGCACTCTCCATCTCTCTCTCTCTCTCTTGCTGTCCCCTCTCTCTCTCTTCCCTCTTCTCTCTTCTCTCTTCTCTGTTCTCTCTTCTCTCTTCTCTCTTCTCTCTTCTCGATTCTCGATTCTCGATTCTCGATTCTCGATTCTCGATTCTCTCTTCTCTCTTCTCTCTTCTCTCTCTCTGTCTCTCTCCCTCTCTGTTCTCGCAGCTTGAGGAGCAAGGTGCGGATCTTTTGTGATAAGTAAGGCTGAAGTAGTCCGAAAAAAAACAGTGCACACTGATGATATGATGATAACAATGATGGCCGCTGTTTCTGTCGTATTTGGTACAGTACACCCTTGTGCCAAAAGCTTGATAACAAAATCGGAATCCACAAAACCAAACTGCTGCTCACAGACAGGGTTGCCTTAGATCTACTGACCCTGTGCATCTCTGTAATGGTGTCAACAGTCGAACAAAAACAGCCCAGGTGCCTGGGCATCCAATTCGGTCATGATGGTGAAGACCAGCTGCTCATATCTGGTCGTGCAGGGCATGAGAACAAAAACCCCCGCCTCATAGACTCAACGGGGTGGTTGTAGAACTGAACACTGTGGGCCTCCTATTGAATGATTGCTCCGTCACACCATGCGCGTATGAAGCAACCGTACAGTCATGCAGCAACTGCTGCTATCACCACATACTACACGTGCATTACATACTCCTCCTATTGCTAGCTCACTTGGCGCTGTGTACAAGACGACTCCAACATGGCCACTGGCAAGTTTGTCAGTCATCGCTTCTGCTCTTGGTGCCCAGGTAGTGATAAGCACACCTTCATCGCGGTTCTACTAGTAGGACGATCTTAGGTTTGTCCTTCAACTTCTCCAGTCTCACACTTGCACCTACTGAGACCCGAAATACAGAAGCCCTTCGTAAACCTTGCATGAACCCCAAAACCCTAAACCGTGAACCCTGAACCCTAAATCCCAAACCCTAAACCCTGAACCTTAAACCCGAAACGCCAAACCCCGAACCTTCAACCACCCTTAACCTTTGACCCTGAGCCCTAAACCGCCTTGCCCGCTCCGGAGTGCCAGGCGGGGGAACAAGCTCCAGCCCAGTGCCCCGGAACTTGTCCTTGGCAACGCACTTTCGGGGGTCTTAATGGTTCGAATAGGCTTCCTTTAAACGGCTCCTTAAAGGGGCCTGAAATGTACGGGATCTACAGTAGAGTTCTACATTATTAGGGGCCTTGAGAATTAGAACAAAGTGTTTTGGGGGGGTATATTCTACCATAGTTATAACAAGTAACGTCCAAAACGATACAATTATTATTAAGGCCCCTAAAGTATGCTACAACTAGACAGCTGCTCTGGGGACCTGAAAAACCAGACTAGGGCTTTGGGGGGTTTACTATCGTCCTACCATGATAAGGAAGCGTAGGGCTAGGATTTAGTCTGGGTTTCAAGGCCGTGGTTATATTCGGACAGTAACTTACTAAATGGATCTGTGTGGGGAACTGGGCTTCTATAGGAAGGCATTGCGCCGGGAGTCCCTCTACGTCGGATTCTGAATGTCATGCTGAACTATATGATTGTAGTCTAATGTGAGCTCGTGATTATTAAAGGTCCCCTCAATAGAGCTAAACTCGGCCCGGCACACAATAATAAAAGGTCCCCTCAATAGAGCTAAACTCGGCCCGCACACAATAATAAAGACCCCTCAATAGTCCTAAAACCCGTCCCGTCCTAAAATTTTTAAGGGTTAAGTAGAGAAGCACTCCTACTACAAACTGACGCCCTGGAAGAGGAGAGACAGAAACAGGCAAGATAAAGGACAGAGAGATAGCCAGCCAGCCAGACTTAAGGGTTTACAGCTTTGAAGAGCTCCCTGGTCCTGTCAAGAGAGGCACCTTGCTCCGCTTGAGAGCCTCTTTGCGCATGAGATACTTGAAGAGAAAATCATGATCACAAGAGAGGCAGCCCCCCTGCCAGCGGCAGCGAGAGCACCTCTGCAGGCCGAAGAGGTAGAGGTGCCGGATCTCAGAGACAGCTTCCTTGGAGAGATCGCTCCACCGGAAGAGGCTGTTGTTCTCTTCGAGAGTCTTTTTCGCTGCAGCCTTTGCAGAGGCCTTGAGCTTCGCAGAGGCTGCGAGAGCCTTGGCAGCCTTGGCCTGAGAGGCCTCCAGCGCTTTGGAGAGCTTCAGAGCCTTCTGCTGAGAGGCCTTGCTTTCCTCGGAGAGCTTGTCGCTCTCCTGGCAGCAGAGCTTTAAACCCTAACTATCACAGAGAACCCTCCCCACCCCAGCAGAGTCTCCTTCTGCAGAGCTTTCTCAAGAGGCAGAAGCCGCTGCTTCTGCCAGACCTTGCAGAGCTCAGCCGGCCACATTCGAGAGGCAGGTCCCTCGGAGAGGCTTGCAACGATCGATTCCATCCAAGAGAGCACGAACCACCCGCACTCGGACGAAGCTTGAAAAGTGTTGTTCACAGGCGGGAGAGCAGGGTCGAGCACCCCCAGCAGAGCAGCCACAGTCCTGGCCTGCTTCAAAGCATTCTCAGAGGGTGGGTGCAAAGAGTCTCTGTAAGTGAGAGACCAGGGCTCATCTGGAGAGGCCCTCTCCCCTTCCAAGAGCGTCCAGTGGTTGGGGCCCAGAGACCAGATGGGGCAGAGCAGGCGGCACTTTCCAGCCAAGACTTGCTCGAGAGCCTTGTGCGGCCAGTCAGAGCCTGCACTCACAACCTCGAGCTGGTAGAGCAGAGCGGGCTCGAGAAGAGCGAACTCCTTCGTCTCGAGAGGCCACGTCCAGGAGAGCAGCTCCCAGCCCCAGAGCAAGTGCTGTTCTTCCAAGAGAACACTGAAAGAGGTCGGGACCTTGAGGAGGACGTGGTCGAAAGACCTCTCTTCTAGAGGCATCTGAAGAGCACCGCTAACTCTCAGAATGGATCGTAGAGTCTCGCGGGTCATAGAGTTGAAGCCCTTCCAGTGCCTTGGAGAGGCCCAGCCAGAGTTCTTTGCCTGCACGAGAGAGGCAGGGACAGAGAAGCTCCCGTAGGCAGAAAAGAGGTGCAGCTTGCCGTCAGAGAAGCCCTTCACGTCCCCTTCTCTGCCGAAGAAGAGCGCCCCAGCCTCTTCAGAGACCACTCGCACCGTGGTGTTCAGAGGCAGCGGCCAAGAGCTTGCATCCACCTCGCCAGAGGTCTCCTCGCCGTTCTTGGCTTTTGCGACCATCTTGTCGGCGAGAGCCTCCGCTGCTTTCTTCTTAGAGTGCTTCTTCTTCTTTTCTTCGCGGCAGAGGCTTTCAGCTTGAGGCTGGGCTTCGTCGTCACAGAGGGCTTCGTCACCGCGGAGAGCTTCGGCACCTTCTTGGCAGAGGCCTTGGCAGAGGCCTTCTCCGAGTCCTTGACGGTAGAGGCGGCCACCTTCTTCGCCTTAGAGGTGGTTGCTCGAGGCACGATGCCGGAGAGGACCTCTTTCTTGCTGCGTTCCTTCAGCTTCTTACCGAGAGCAGAGAGAAGCTTGGATCGCAGAACCCTCCTGACCAGAGCCCTGTTCTGGCGCTCCGCAGCCTTCTCTTTCGTCTTCTCCAGAAGAGCTTTGTAGTCTGCAGAGGTGGCCTCCAGCCGCAGATGTTTCCGACGGAGAGCCGGGGACAGCCTGAGGAAGAGGCTGTTGTTCAGCGGCAAGAGAAGCTCCTCCTGGATGCTGTCCGGGACGTCCAGAGAGTCATCGGCGCCATCTTCCGCAGGAGCCGGAGAGTCATAGCTCCACTGGATCAAGTCCGAGACGGCCTTGATGTTGGAAGAGAGCTTGAAGTCCGGAGGCTGCGGAACACCGTCTTTGGAGAGCCACTTGTACCGGTCGGAGAGCCAACTCTCTGGGATTCGTTTTGTTCCCACTCCCAGAGACAGCTCCTTGGCCCAGGCCTGGTCGCAGATTTTCACGAGAGCTCCGTTGCAGGGGCGGTACACCAAGAGTCCGTTGCGGACGGTGGCAGAGAGCACGAAGTCCTTCTCGTCCTGCCGCTTCTGCAGAGCACGTTGGGCAGCGACGGTGCAGAGGACTATGTGCTCGTAAGTCACCTGCCAGCGAAGGGAGAGATTCCAATTGTTTTCATTTAGTTTATTATTAGGTCCTAAGTAAGAGCGGCCTGGAAGAGACCCTTGTTCTTCTCTCTCCAGAGGGTCCGTTGCTCGGTCAAGGCTTCTCGGAAGAGTGACTTGAAAGAGCGAGCAAAGTCGGTGTCCGTCACCTGGAGATAGTGAGTGAGCTTTCCGAGAATCTCGACAGAGGCCTGGTTCACGACCTGCTGAGTCTGCTGGACTTCAGAGGAGAAGATGGCCGCGAAAGAGTCTCGGATGTAGAGCGAGCAAGGTTCTTCAGAGCCCTGCTGCTGCACCACCCAGTTCAAGAGCACACCGTCCATGTTAGAGGCAGGTTGCTGCATTATGTCGATCTCAGAGAACTCCTGCGGGTAGAGAGCCCGCAGTTTCACAGCCCACTGAAGAGACCGGCATTTCTCGCCAGAGAGGTGCACAACCTCAGAGTTCCCCACACGGTACCGCTCCATGGAGATGTACCGGCCTTCAGAGTCCAAGTTCGAGAGGCGGCAGTGCTTCCCCGGGAACACCAAGAGACCAGCGGACACCTCAGCAGAGGGAGTGCCATCACCGCAGAGGCCGTGGATCTTCTGCCGGGCCTCATAGGTGATGCGGAACTTGTCCGCCTCAGAGTGTGCTCGCTTGACCTTAGAGCCGGGCTTGAGCTTAGAGTCGGAAGGCTGCTCGTCCATGTCTCCCAAGACCTGGAGAGGCCGTCTTCGCCCAGACTTTCCTCCAGAGCTGTTCGGGCAGCCTGAAGCTCCTGGCGAAGAGAGTCTCCGCTGCCAGGATGAACTTGCAAGAGCTCATCTTCGCTGAAGAGAAGCTTCTTCGGCTGAGCTTTGGCCCAGAGCGGCACCTGGTCGCTCATGCCGAGCACAAAGTCTTTGCGAGAGTTCAGGACAGAGGCAGGGTCGGCCACGAGCTTTTCAGAGGCCAGAGCCTCCTCAGAGGCACACGTCATGGCCCAGAGGGCCCGATCACAGGCCTGGAAGGTCAGCTGAGAGCGTACCTTCTCCTCGGTGGGAGAGAGGTGCGTCACCTGCTCCGCCACCAAGAACTTCGCACCAGAGTCCGTCACCAGGCGGTCCGTCAAAGAGAGCCGGTACTTCTTTGAGGCCAAGAGTTTGCGCTTCCTGTCCAGAGCAAGCTTGGCCAGCTTCTGCAGAGAGTGCTTCTCAGGGTCTTCGTGAGGCAAGAGTTCGGCCTTTCGAAGCAGAGCCTGGCTTTTCTGCACCAAGAGAGTCAAGTACTCCGCAAAGAAGTCCTGCTTGGAGACAGAGTGGCCGTGTTGCCTTTCAGTCGCATGCCACTGCTTCAGAGCGGGCAAGAGGTCGGGAAAGTCCGCCTTGCGACCGCCGCCCTTTTGCCGCATGTAGCGACAAGAGCGCTTGGCCTTGCGAGAGGCTCTGCTC